TTAAAAAAAGAAATCGTCTGGATATAACACAACGTGGAGATTTGAGATTTAAGCTAACTAAGCTTGAACCAGATATAAAATCGCTGTGTAAAAAGCATCAAGTCCACAAATCACATTAAAGTAAATTTTTAAAATCTATTATTTTTTTATTTATTAAAAGTTCGTTTCTTTGTTTTGACAACAGTTGTAAGAAATCGCTTTAAAATTATCATTCATATTACTAAAAAGAACAAAAATAAATTTTATAACTAAAATTATGTATGGGGGGACATGATGATTTTAGAAATGTTAAAGTGGGGCATGGCCTAAAAAAGTTTGGGAAACACTGGGTTAGAGCCATCAATGTGTGCAAGAAAATGAAAGGGCATATTGCCTAGCCAAGCAGGCTGCAGAGAACACTGCTGCACCGTTTGAATATGATAAAATCAGTAAACAGACATTATGACAGCTGCTGTGGGAAGATACTCTTTCTAGGTGGCTCTTTCTAGATACTCTTACTATATATATCATTACTATATATGTACTTAATATAACCATTTCACATGACCTGATAAACAACATGAGAAATTACCTCTGTAAATAATATAAATATCCTCGCTATTGTAATATTGAATGTATTTATCCTTGTAACAATTGTTTGTAAAATTATGTTGATGTATCCTTTACTCCCAGTAATGCTATTGTGTGGCACTGAGATATGTGTGTTCACACCTTAATAAAATAATGATTGATTGATTACCCCATTGACCTCTTGGGTAACCAATCAAGAGGTTCATCTACACACACTGCAAAAAGGAGGTATGAAGTGAGAAGGACATTTGTCAAACACGAACAACAAAACAAAGGGAAAAAAAGGAAAACCGATACAATAATGAACATAATAAAACTAATGTGAACTAAGTACAAAGGATAATTATATATAAATAAATAAATAATATATACATACACTTCACTAAACAACCACCAATAAGTGGCAGAGCACTACAACGTTTTCAGCCTTCTGTTATGTTAAATTTAAAAATTTCTATTTATTATATTTATTGTTGAATATTATTTATGTTATAATTCAGTTAAATTATTCTCTGTTCTCACTGAGGAAGACCTGTAAAAAGAGGTTGAAAATGTTTTTAGCAAATAATGAAAACACTTTTATTATAAAAAGTTTTAAATTTAATTATCAGTGTTTAATTTTGTAATGTAATTTCATATGTTTATTTAATTTACTATTTAACTTACATAACTTCAAAAAACGTGGGTGTTTTTTGTTTTTCCACAATAGGTCTTATTTTCTTGCCTTTTTTATGAGTCTTAGCAAAGGCAAATAATCTAGGAAACGACCTATTGTGGAAAAACGAAAAGCACCAATGTTTTTCTTTGAAAGACGGTTACATGAGTATATCTCCTCCAAGGTGGAAAGTAATGAATTGGTGGCTAATGATCATGTAATGGTGGTCATAGAACTACAAGGAGTTACCTTAGTGGATGAGGAAGTGGAAACTGTTTTAGATTACGAAATTTGTTCCCTTCTATTAAGATTGAATCTTGTGTAGAAGCACTTTTGGAGTTCTTGAATAGAGTAAACCCTACATTAGCACATCATAGAAATGAGTTGGTAGAGATGGTTAACCTGGTTTGCTGCGAATTCTTCTTTGCTTTCGAAGGTCAAACATATAAGCAATGTAGGGGGGTCCCAATGGGAAGCCCAATTTCAGGGCTACTATGTGAGCTTGTTGTTAGTAGACTAGAGATTAAAGTTCTGCGTAATTTCGAAAGCGATATTATATACTACAAAAGGTATGTTGATGATATATCATAATATGGAAAAATAATTGAGAAATTGCTAACTTTATGGATAGGATTAACGATAATGAGGAAGGCCTTAGCTTGAAACTAGAGCAAAAAAGCTCTGTTATGGTACATTTTTTGGAAATTAATATTATATTTAGAGAGGGACATATATCTACCGGGGTATTTATTAAACCAATGCATAGCCCACTATATATACCTGCAAGCTCTAATGATCCTTATAAATATAAATTAGCAGCATTTCGAGCATTAGTTAGGAGGGCTTTTTTATACTGCAAAAGTACAGGTATACCTCGACTTACGTCGTTTCGAGTTACGTCGTTCCCGATTATACGTCGTTTATCAAAAAAGTATATGGAAAAATAAAAATCAAGTTTAAGTCATTTTATTCGACTTTACGTCTGTCCGCCACAAATATTGAAGTCGTAATATCACTAGAAAAACGTTTAAAGCACATAAAATCATATTAAAATATATACATTTAGAAGTATGTACTGTATTTACAGTACATGCATTCGTAAATTTAGATTACTTTTTTCTGTACTATATTAAAAACTAAAATTTATTTGTTTGTAAGCTTAAAATAAATCCTTATTAACCATATGTTATTAAAAATGCATTAATAAATAAAATACAGAACCGGGAATGGTAATTTATGGTTTAGCCTAGTGACAAGTAGATTCAGAGACAAGTTAATTCGACTTACGTCGCTTTCCTGGAACCAATTACCGACGTAAGGCGAGGTATACCTGTATAATAGACAGGGATGCAGAAATAGAATCGTGCAGGTAGCAGAAGCATTGGGCTACAAGAGGAATGTTATAAAGGGGATTATCAATAAATTAGATGTTGGTACAGATATAGTATCTGTTCAAGGTCCATCTACATACATGAAATTTATGTACAACAAGCGCTTAAGAAGCATTATGAAAGAAATCACAAATATAAAAGATACAAGGATGGTCTTAAAAAGAGCTCCGAATTTGTGCAGAATACTTAGAAACGATAAAGGGGTGGTTAAAAAAGAAGATATGTCAGGTGTATATAAGATTCCATACGAGAATCAGATATTAGGAATAAATAAAGAATATGTTGGGGTTGTGGCTACATGCCATAATTGTATAGTTATAGTTTATATTTTTATTTAAAATATCTCCCTTGTCTTCATTTCTATTGTCTTTCTTTCTGGAAGTTTCTCCCTACTTTTGTTTAACGGTGGAACAGCGGGTGACCCCTGAGTAACAAAGGGGAAGGTGTGTGACCCTCAGGGTATAACGGGGTCGAGGAGGTCATTCTGGTAGAGAGTACGAGACGGAAAAGAACGTGTGAAGCAAGCTCTCGGAGGTATTGGAACCGAGTGGAAACCAGAACGAACTTTAGGAAGAGAAAAGAAAACGGAGGAGAACGAATACTGGGAAGGTTGCTTTCATTCGTTCTAAAGTGTCTAGTGAAATCAGAAAGTCCGTAGGAAAGAACTTTTCATTCCCCATGAAACACGCCGGAAACATTTGGGTACCCAACTTCCTTTGTCTTTCACCTTTATCTCTTAGTTTCTGTCTTGTCTAAAATCTAGTTTTCACTTTTAGTATATAATCATTAGCCGTAAGTTTAGTCCTAAGATCTGAGTGTATAGTCTATCAGTAGAATAGTTATTAAATTAAAGAATTGTCGCATTATTTAATTTGTTTGTTGGGTTTATGTTGTTAAAATTAAGATATATGTTCAGGGATAGAGATAGCAGCTGGCATCTTATAAATATTTTCTGTACTCTGTACGCGAATAAAAGACTTTCATATTGTAAAAGTTGTGTCTCTTTGTCAACGGTATTCGCGATCCTCACAGGGTTACTACTAGAAGAGCACAGATATGATATTAGAAAAGGTTCTAATGCCACAGTATTGGCTCAAATGGCACAAATGGAAGGTTCAAAAGTACAATGGAATGAAAGTGGATATCCTGAAACAGATACACTCTCCGACTTTGGCAAGAACGGCTGAAAAAGTAGAAATTTATAGAAGCAAACTTAAAGGGAATTGCATCAACACAAGAGATGCAGAGGGACTTCCTTCCGCATGGAAGTTTGCAATTAAAAACTTAAAATAAGAGCAGGAACTTTAATAATATTTGTAGTAAAAACTCTGTATAGTTAAGTAAGCAATATTAATATTTAGTACTAGCTGCAAGGACCCGCTTTGCTGGGTTTTTATTTGTGGGCAAAAAGTAACAATAGTGAAGATTAAGATAATTACAGCCAATCTTACCCGTTTTCACAAAATGCAATAATTAGGTCTCCTGTTTCCAGACATTTCCAGAGAATTTTTACATGAGCATAAAAATATGTTCGATTTCCCGCAAAAACGCAAAAAACCGCCTGTAAATCTTGCATGCCGCTTTATATTAACACTTCCTGGTCCCAATTTTATTTCTGAACATCTCCTGTTCACGTCCAGTCAAACAAACTATTTTCAACGTTTCTGGAACGTTTACGATCGTTCTATAATCGAACCAATATTCGAATTTTATGTTCGAATTTGTTCGAACAAATTCGAACAAAACATTCGAAATAGAAAGCCACTTTCAACCACTTTCAGCCCCATATCNTCACATATTCACTATTAAGCAATATTAATATTTAGTATTAACAGTTGGTCTATTAAGTTAGAGGTATTAATATTTAGTATTCACAATTTGTTTGTTATATTTGACTATTTTATTTTATTTTTAGTATTAGCAGCATTTGTATTAATTTTATTATTTACAAACATTATTTGTCTATTAATAGTGTATATGTTATCGGTTATTAATATTTATATTTTGTATTTTGAACTTGTTGTTCTATTTTTGAAGTGTTCCAATTAACCTGATGATGATCCATTGATTGGATTGAAAACGTTTGTTTTAAGAATAAATCTCTCAGCGAGTGATCAGATGTTTTTCAATCAGATGTTTGGTAGACGGACTTACAGCAAAACATGTTTTGCTGTGAGTCCGTCTACCAAAAATTTTTTGGATTACAGAGACGAATTATATACATAGTAACATACAGCAGTCCAGATACGGAGTGATCAGATGTTGATTAAGTTATGATTTTTGAATATTAATGAATATTCTTGTCAGTGTGTATTTTGAAAAACTATACATTTAATTTCAAAAACTGCAAGAATTTAAATATATGAAATTTTAATTTTTTAAAGGTGAAACCAAGAAAACATTTGAAGTTGAAATCATATATAACAAAGATAAAGGGTGGAATAAGAATTTTTTTATTACTCTTTGTTCAGAAGAATTACTGAATGCTATACTTGGAAATATTTCAATTTCTACAATTTTTATAGCTGATAATGACGACTTTGATATCTTAGTACTTCCAGCTCCACCAATTGTGAGTATTCATTACATTTTTAATGAACAAAAATAAAAAATTAAAATTTTTTGTGATGAATTTTTGTAATTTTAGCAAAAATGTTGGTACTTAAAAAATGATTACATTAAAAAATGTAAATTAACAATTACCACTGTAAACTTACTTCAATAATTGTGTGTGTGTGTGTGTGTGTATATATATATATATATACTAAAAACATGTTAAATATATATATATATATATATATTTAACAGGTTTTTAGGTAAGCACATTGCAGGAATGCTTGACAAACAAGGATGCTGCTACATTATACAAATACAAGATTTTCTGTCATTTTTTTGTTAATATAGGATAAAGGTTCGACTGTNAACCTAAAAACATGTTAAATATATATATATATATATATATTTAACAGGTTTTTAGGTAAGCACATTGCAGGAATGCTTGACAAACAAGGATGCTGCTACATTATACAAATACAAGATTTTCTGTCATTTTTTTGTTAATATAGGATAAAGGTTCGACTGTTGTGCATTAATGCCTTGTGGATTTTTTTTCTATTAGGAATTGTTTCTATTTTCGATAACGTGGCAGATGTTTCTGAAGTGTGTGGTACTAGTGGCGGAAGAAACACAGGCTTATGAAAAAGTTTAAATAATTACATTTTACTTCATGCTGGTTTATTGAAATCAAGAAAAGGTTAAAATAAAATGTAGGACCAATAATACCACAAAAGAAAACCTCAGTACTTATTCCAGCCTCAATTTATTAAACACAAACATTTTTGGCTCCATTTAGGGACCTATATCAGGTAGTACAGTTGTTCCATTAAACTCAACAAATTCAGAAATTAAAAAAGTTCATAAAGCATTCTTCAAGACATTCCATCAGCATCATGATGTAATTTAAAAGAAATATTTCCATACAGGTCACAATTGTGTGTTTATTAAATTGTGAGGCCTGAGCGATACTGTGTTAAAAATATCATAAAAGTGTCAAATCAAGGGATCGAGCTTTGATTCTAATGCTCGTAAAATTGGAAGAAAAACCTAAATAAAGTCAGAAAATAATAAAATTATTAATCAAGAGAAAAAAATAAGTTTTCAAATAACCTTAAATGGAGATGCAGTGCTGATATTTTGTGTCAGACTTATAAAAATTTGAAACAAATACAAGCAGGAGTTTCAAGGTGTGATTAATTTCCCTTGATCGGATTAAAACACAGTGTCGAATTAAACCTTTGGTAGCCCAAAATGGTCTGTCATCTGCTTAGATACAGGAAACCAACCATTCAAACACTAGAGATCTGGAGAAGAGAATCTTTTTAAAAACCTGGATCTCAAGGACAAAGGCAGACTTCTCCCAGCCTCTGATAGTGACAACCACTGTCCAGACTTTTCCCAGCTTTTAACTGTAATCAACTGTTCAGACTTTTCCCTGCCTCCACATGTGGTCATCATCCTGTATGAACTGCAGGCTACCACCCATGCAATCATGTTCTTCCAGGTTCTTCCATAGACAGTAACATTGTCCAAATAAGAAAATATGTCAACTAAATCTTCTTTAGCAATCAACTGAGAAATAGAACATTGAAATCCAGTAACACCATTTGTGAGACCAAAACTAATCACTTAAACTGCCATAATTTGTTACAAGCTTCAAATGCCATATAATGTTTGTTTTGTGGCTACACGCCTGTTTTTCTTTTATTAATATTGTTATTATTATTATTAGTCCGTATAGTTTTAGTTTAATTTAAACTCTAGAACTTTCCTTCCTTCCGATTTCTTTGTTCCTTTGTCTCGGATTTCCAAGAACTCGCCTCACCCCTAACCCATCAGGGGGTAGCCTTAGAACAAAAGACGAAAATGGGGCTGGAAGAGAGGAAAACAAAGGGTTTTTAGGCACTCTTAGGCCGGACTTGGAGAGCGAGAGACGTGTGGCAGAAGGCTCTGGAACAAAAAGTTGGGGGAGCGCTGCAGAAGGAGGCCGTAAGAAGTGGATCGACAGAAGAATCTGGTCGATGATTATAAGACAACGCCGAAACGGACCGAAACGGTTCTAAAAAGAAGAACAGCCGAGAACGAAGCCGAGACGAGGAACTGTGGAGAACCAACAGGAAAATTGGGTACCCTCTGTCCTTTAATTCTTCTTATTTCCCCTTTCTATCTTTTCTATCTCTTAGTTTAATTTAGTTTTAAGTTAGTTTAAGTTTACGCGCGCAACTAATTTTGTTGGGAGGTAGTTATCGGAAAAGTAACTACCGGTATATTGATATATCTGATCGCTCGGGATTTTGGAACGTTTGTAGGTAACAGCGGGAATCCGAACTTATTCTGTATATATATTAATGTTTGCGCGAAATTAAACTCGTTTAATTGGTAAAACGTGTCTGTGTTTTCCTGTCCGCGCTATACATTTTCACAGTTTTCCTTTGGAATGGGAATTTGATGGTTAGAGTTGACTCAAATCTGTCGTACTGAAAACTTTATAAGAGGCTATTTTCTGAATCAGGTCATTAATTCTAGGGAGAGGGCATGCATCTAATTCAGTAAACTTATTAATAGTGTAAGAGTAGCCTATACAAGGATTGTTCGGAAAGTTCACGGGCTTGCCTATATGCAGTGCTGTGATCAATTTAATTTTTGGCAGGAATAATTCAGCCATTTTTGCTAGAGATACGATACTAATTTCTGCTTGATTTGTCATAAAGTTTTGCCATGACAACTTAGCAGATAGTCAGTGTGCACATGCTTTGTCAAAAATGGAGAAGACGGAGACTCGTGCGGTCATAAAATACTTGACGAAAAAAGGGTTGACCCCATCTCAAATCAAAGCTGACATGGATGAAGTTTTGAGAGAGTCTGCTCCTTCATACATCACTGTGAAAAAATGGACAGCCCTTTTTAAATCTGGCAGAGAGAGAGTGGAAGTTGATCCTTGCAGTGGACGGCCATCAATTGCTGTCACTGAAGAAAATATCGACAAAGCTCACAATTTGGTATTAGCAGATCGCCGTTTGAAAATGCGTGAGATAGTTTAGAAAACAGGCATCTCTGTCGACCGGGTGCACCACATCCTAACCGAAAATTTGGTTATGACGAAGGTCTCAGCAAGGTGGGTGCCGCTTCTGCTGACTGCTGAGCAAAAACTTGTTCGCACTTTGATGTCAAAGGAGTGTTTGGGCTTTTACCAGAAAACCCCACAGGATTTCTTGCGTTAGTTTGTGACTGCTGACGAAACGTGAATCCATTACTACACTCCTGAAACAAAAGAACAGTCGAAGCAATGGAAACACCACAGTTCACCACCACCAAAGAAGGCAAAGACAGTTCCATCAGCGGGAAAAGTGATGGCCTCAGTTTTTTTGGATGCTAAAGGCATCATCTTTATTGACTACCTAGAAAAAGGAAAGACCATTAATGCTGTCTATTACTGTGAACTTTTGGAAAAACTGAAGAAAGAAATCGAAGAAAAGAGGCCACACTTGAAGAAGAAAAAGGTTCTGTTCCACCACGATAATGCACCTGCACATTCCGCCAGAATCACTGAACAAAAGGTAAACAAATTTCGCTTCCAATTAGTTCCACGTCCACTGTACTCACCTGATTTGTCCCCCAGTGACTTCCACCTTTTTCCAAGCCTAAAAATATTCTCGGCTGGAAAGAGATTCCACTCAAATGACGAAGTCATCTCTGAAGTGAATTGAGTATTTTGCACACCTTGACAAATTGACCTATTGTGATGGCATAAAAAAGCTAAAACATTGCTGGAATAAGTGCATTGCTAACAAAGGAGACTACATTGAAAAATAAAAAAAATTTTAACATTATTTTGTTTGTTGTTCTATTTGAGGCCGCGAACTTTCCGAACAGCCCTCGTAACTAACCTTTTCTTTGGATCAGGTACAATTACTACCTAAGCCCTTCATGGTGAATTGCTTTCTTTGATTATACTCTCAGCTATCGATTTCTTGATTTCTACATCAATGAAATCCTGGTCTGGTTTAGAGAACTGCCTAGATTTAGTAGTGATAGGCCTTGTGTCTTTAGACAAATGTTTAAAGAGATGGGCCAGTGGCACGTTTGCAAACACTGCAGAACAGATCAACAATGATTTATGAGAGACACCAAATTTGAAGGAAATATCAATATGCAAAGCTAGGAAATCATGCCCTAAAATTACATCCGCACATAGACCAGATAAAGCTGGCAGTGAAACCTTTGGATAAGTGTGGCCCTTTAAGTTAATAGAAACTATGCACCGATCCCTCACTGTCGAACTTAAGGCAGTCATAGCCATAGAAACTTGAGTGGAATGCAGAATAATTCTGAGGCGATGACACAATGCAAAATTATAATCTATAGAACTCTCAGAACTGCCAGTATCCAGGGCATGCCCTGAAGGATACTGGCATTATCTTCGGTATTATTTAAGTTCTCTTTCACCGACTCTTTTTCATTGGAGATATGGATAGTGCTTACTGTACTGCTATTAGAGACAAAAGTTTTGGACTAAACACAGGCAGATTCTAAAGCACAGGCTTGCAATAAGGCATCTGTGAGTTTTAAAGTATGACTTTCCAAAAGACGCTGTTGTATCTGAGGCAATAACAATCCTGCAATAAAAGCATCACACACATATTCACTTTTATACTCTTCAGCCAAGACAGAGATAAAGTTGCAGTTTTTACTTAACGTCCTAAGATTCTGATAATACTAGTCAATGGACTCACTAGGTTGTTGGTGACGATGATTTAGACAATGAGGAATGAAAATTACATTTATAGGCTTCTTATATAGGGCAGTCAAAGTCTTAATGGCATCCTCAAATCCAGAGCACTCTGATATATAGGAGTAGACTAAAGGACTAAACTTCCTCACATCATACATTTCTGTTGATGATACAAAATTTTAAAAAGTTTGGTACCAATGGGACTACTGTTGAGAGGAACCATTAATATTTGAACTGACATTAAAATGTTCAGGTTTGAGTAGGGCTATCTATTCTAAGTAGTTTTAGACACAAATAACTTGTAGTATAAAGAGAGAAAGGCGTTACCTTAACAAAAGCTTTTATTCGTGTCTAAAATGTATGACTGTTACAAATTCAAATGCAGTGAAAAACAGTGCTGCAAGTCCAAGAGACTAACTACTGTGGGAAGAAGTGTTGCCACACTGACATTACTACAGTGAAAATTTCAACTAATTTATCTCCTCGTAAATCTCTTCCTTGTGATCTGCTGCATTACATGTGTACAGAGTTTCATTCAATTCAGTTTAATAGAGTGGCTCCATGTGTGTCTGAGTAGCATTAGTTTAATTCTAAGCATCTTGTACTTAAGTACTAACACAATACTTTTTTGCAGTACTTTTATTTGTAATGTTTTCAAAAATACTGCAATGTTTATTTATAATTTTTTAAATTTATTTTCAGGTTATATCATTGCAGCATTATGATGATATAGAAATTAATATGAATAAAGATCCATCTCCTGGATATCCATTAATTTGTGTGACTGTAAGTTTAAACTTTATGGAAAATTTTTAAAAATTAATTTATTCATTGTCTAATAAATAAAGAATGAAAGTTTTTAAAGTTAGAACCAGGACTGTGAAGTCGCGTAAAAATCTACCAACTCTGACTATGATTTTTCTTTACCATCCAACTCTGACTCTGACCAGGGGCAGACTTGTTACCGAATGAGACCCAGAAATGCTGATGTCATCACATAACCTCAGAATAAAAGATTCAATAAATAGAGTTCTAATAAAGATAGAGCATAGAAACTTTTTATTCCAAAGCTAAAAGACTTATCTAAGTAATATATAAATATGTATTTGATAATTTTTACTTTTCCGGCTGTTATATATAACAGAGGGAAAGTGTAGCGCTTGGTCAAAAAATGACCCCTCTCAAATTTTTACATTTTTGGACTCAGGACACCTTGAAATTTTGAGATATGCAAAAGATTTGAGGTTTTTTTCTATATGGTGGATGTTAGACTGTGTGGGAGTGGCATGATTTTGTTCACCCTGTTTGAAGCCTAATAATTTCTGTGGTCAGAGTGATCAGAATCGGAGTCAGATGGTTTAACACAGGAGTTAGTTATTTAAGTCAAAGTGGTTGAACTAAATCGTGTCCCCAAATACATTCTAACGTCTTAGGTGAGAACATCTTAATGGGTTTTACTGTACTATTATAAAATGACAAAAAAGCTTACTTTGAGAATAGAGACAAGTTTTATTTTATTTTTTTAAATTTTGAATGCTAATAACGAGTAAAATATTCATTAAGAGATATGACACATGACCACTTTTATGTCTTCACCCTGTCGACCTTTAAGAACCAAAATTTAATAGTATTAATGCCCCTTTATATGCAAGTTACAGTGACACATTTCGTTTCTTAAACTTTACCCATTCTGAAATATTGTTTAATATCTCAAAGCAGACAATAAAGAAATTAAACAAATTAGATGCCAACAAACATATGCACACGAATTTTTTCCCGTTATTGACTTTTTTGAGGGGTTCGGGAGGTCTCCAAACGTGTAGATTTGCAAAAAAAACTTGGAGGGTCAAATTTAACACAATTTCAATACTTTTCTGTTTTATATATGTAACAAGTTGATAAGTAAAAAGGAGTCGGAGTTGGCGAATTTTTTGACGATTCCGACTCCGGCTAAAACACCAAAACTCCACGACTCCAACTCCACAGCCCTGGTTAAAACATTATGCTTTGAAGAGCAAAAGGTTTTTGTGATACATTTCAATACAAATATAAACCTTTGCCTTACATTGCAGCTAATTGACTATCATATGCTTCTCTCAAAACATTTCTCATTGTCAGTATGATATATTTGTATTAAATTCTATTGTATAAAGGAACCAAGATAAAGTAACAGTCATGTACTGTACAGTTGACTCCCCTATAAGATATAGATACGTTCCAATTTATTAGGAATCCGATTTCTTACAAGTTGTTTTAATCACAGCCCGACACGTGTGAACTTTACGGACTACGGCTGATTGAAAGGTTTTCTTCCATAAAATTAATCGATTCTACACTAATCCGACTCAACATTTCCAAAATACGTATATTTTTTTGTAGTTTTATAGGAATCGTAATTATAGGGACCGTAATTATAGGGAGGTCGACTGTACATAAAAAAGAATAAAGGATGCATTCCAAGATGCATCTCTATTTTAGATAAGTAAAAATGGATAAAAAATTTAATTTTAGAATGAAGGAAATATGATACAGTAGTACCTCAAAATACGAAATTAATCTCTTCCGAAGATCGTATCGTGAAAATGTCATAAGGAGAATCATTTTTCCCCATACGATTACATATAAACCAAATAATTCATTTTAACACAAAAAACACTCAAATTAAAGCTAAGTAGTACATTAAAAAAAATGACTATAGTAAGGAAAACACTGAAAAATGCATTTTGTAGTTGTAAATGTATAAATAACCATAATAGAATAATAATTGATAAAAAAAATGTACTTTTATTTGCAATTTACCTTTGAGGATAGACGACGGTGGAGGTGTAAACTGGTGGCGGAAGAGAGGGAGAAGGGAAATGATACTAAAACTTAACTTACATAACATAATGTAACAATAACTTAAAAATAACTTAACACTAATTTTTTAACTTTTCTGTTTTATATATATTTTTTTATTTTTTATTCACTGCTTTTTGCCATCTTTCCTTCACTTCCAGCAGCACTTTCACTGGATA